AAAAAAAAGAGGAAAAGGGAGGGAGGGTGTTGCGCATGCGCCCTGCGCCCAGCTGGCACGAGGCAAGCGGGCGGTTGGTGCGAGCCTTCAGGCGCAGCGTGAAGGGGGTGGGGTCACGCGGAGGCTCTAAGTGGTGACGTCACAGAGGAAGGGGGAGGTGGGAGGAGAGACCCCGGCGCAGGCGCGGCTGCTGGCAGACGAGCGGGGTCGGGGGGTGAATCCGTTCAGTACCTGGGACACTTGTTCTTGCCAAGCTTTTGGGGCTCTTCCTGTGCCTGGTAGCTTGCAAAGAGCAATTTTTCCAGCGACTGAGTTGGTTTAATAAAAGATCCCGGATTTTAAAAAAATTGTCTTTATAGATATGTCTATCTAGATCTAACTATCTAGGTATCTATCCAGATCTCTAGATCTATGTATCTAGGTATCTATCTAGATAACTATATCTATCTATAGATATTGATATCTAGATATCAATTGATATCAATCTAGATATCAATATCTATAGCTACTTAGATGTCTCTCTCTCTCTCTCTCTATATATATATACACACACACACACACACACACAGACACGCATCCTCTTGTAAACTCTACACCGCACCTTTAAACCGCATTAAGAAACCCGCGCTCCCGTTACAATAAACACCCCCATGCCCCCACTACCCCTGTTGCAGTTCCCTGGTCCAAGCCCCGATTTGGGGTTTACGTTCTCAGTTCATAGATGCTAGGGTCGGACGGGACCTCAGGAGATCATCGAGTCCGACCCCTGCCCTGGGCAGGAGGAGCGGTGGGGTCAGACGACCCCATCCAGGTGCTTGTCCAGTCTCCTCTTCAAGACCCCCCGGGTAGGGGAGAGCACCAGCTCCCTTGGACGTCCGTTCGCTGTCCTTTCCGTTGTCAATGTCGCTGTCATTTCCGCTGCTGCTGATTTTGCTGCCGTCGTCCTCGCTGTCTTCAGGTCCAGTTGCGTCGTTGTCCTCTTCCTTCTCCCCATCCGCCTCCCCTCCCAGGGGGTCGTTGAACAGCCTGTGCCAAGTGTCACTTTTCCAGGTGGAGTTGGCTGTGTCTTCTCTGTCCTCTCCCATCGCTTTCCAGTAGTAGGACTGGAGTTTGCTCAGACAAGATATCAGATTTACGCAAAGATCCTTGTCTGCTCTCAGCAACCCTGGCTCTAGTCCTTGCCTCCTTTAAGCCCCTCCTAGGAATGGAAAGCAAAAGTCCACAGGTGCCTGACGCCTTCCTTCTTCTTGGTCTAATAAAAGATATCAAATTCACCCAAGGAACCTTGTCTGCCTTCTTCCTCTGAAGGCATTTTAAATCTGTTTGTTTTTTTGAGGGGGTCTCTTTCTCTTCTTCCAGTGGGAACTCGAGACTTGCCTTAGCAACCCCTAAATTGTCCTCGTCTGGTAGCAACATGTGGCTTGTCTCCTCATAAAGGAAGGTCTGGGCTTGCCTGGAATGGCTTAACCCCCGCTCCTTCCCTGTGGTGTTAGTGCCTCTTCCAGAAACAGCAATATTTGGGGGCCCCTCATTACCACCCTCCCCCTCGCCAAAGAGGTGCACTCTGCTGCAAAGTGCTTGCAGCGGATGGAAGTGGCAGCCCTTCTGCATTCTTCTGTTTAAGCAGTACTGAGAAAATCAATATCACTCTGTGGTTACCAAATAACACAGGCAGCAGTTTTTCTGCTTCGGCACAAACACCAGCTATGGAATTGGGCTAGTCCTGGATACTCAATTTTCAGCAAATAAAACAAAACAAAAACAGGTTGACTGCAGCATAGAATGGCCTCTCGAAAGCTGAGCTATTGACAGAAATAGCCGTATTCGATGATTTACCCTTCCACCTTACAGGCAGCAAAAAGGATTTGCTCTTTTCCTCAAGCAGCTAGTGGCTTGATGGAGGTCTTAGCTGGGGTCATTATGATGTCAGCACCAGAATTCAGTAATTAAAAAAAAAATCTCACTGGCATCGATAGCTTGTGGCATAAACTAGGACCGTCGTCCCCCAGAATATTGTTGGAACTTCTACAGCCAAACCACCGAGATTAAAAAAAAAAAGGCAGGTAAATCTCATCCTGTAACAACCCTGACAAATCATTCTTGAGTAGTTATTGCCAAGTTATGTGGGTGGTTTCTCAGCTTGCCTTGTGCGAACCAATATTAATCAGGAACTAGGATGAAATCACTTGTCTATTTTTATTCGGGATGAATTGCTGTGGCTCAGGAATATAATACAACCTTCACTGTGAATATGGAGAAGCAGTATTGTCATACTGGGTGTAAGGTATGACAGCAAGTCCATCCTATATATCCTTCCAGTTGTGGGGGGTCTACAGAAATTCCTGAGTAGGGATACTGCAGGATTAAGAGTCTCTAGTTTGGAAGGAAGCAAATATGTGACAGGCAAAACTGAGAAGCAGCTGTTCTCTGTATCCTGCTGCCCTCAGGACATGAAAGACCTCCTAAAAACCCATTTTTGTGTTAGTGGTCCTAACAGTTCACCCTCCAAAACTGCCAGGTATATTCAGTGGCAATATGGGAAGAGGACAGCCATCCCTTCAAGGAAAAGGGCAAATCTGAACGGTCGGGTACAGGTTTCCTGCAAGGTTAGCCCTAGAGTCATGAAAGCTAGAATTGTTTTGTACCGGACAGGTTCAAAGCCAAACCTCTTTCACTATTGTTAGACTACAAAGTTACTTTCTTTTTGGCCCTGATCTGGAACTCGAGTGCTCCAGTAGGCTTTGTATGAAAGACCCTTATTGGGTTTTCCAGTTGACATTGTCTTGGGAAATTTGCTGGAGCAGGGGAGCTGTCTTGCTCAGAGCATTTTGAACCCTATCCCACTGAGCTGTATTGTGGTCTCTAAATCACAGGTTAGTATAAATATGAGAACATGTTTTGAATTAGTTTGACAGCCACAGATACAGTAACTCAATTAATGTACAAAATAAAACTGAAATAGGAACAACAGGATAGATATTTTTTTATTAAGTATCATTAACAAGGTAGCTTGTCACTAGAAGAATTTGAGACATCAACATTTTCAAATCACACTTAATATTTTACTGTAGTGTGGGTGAATAAGACAAGATCACCTAAAGAGCTGTTTGCAAAGGGCATGTTTTTTATTAAGAAAATAGTTGCCAAGTTGACATGGTGAAGATAAAGGTTCATTAACCTTTTGAAAACCTGCCAAGTAATAGTGTTCATAGGGAAATTGTACTGGAGCAGAGACAGGAAAAATAGCGATAGCATGAGGTAAGAAATACAGCATTGGAGAAACCTGTTATCCAACTGGAAACACAGTTTCAGGGTAAACACTCATTGGCTGATAAGGAAAGAGGTGCAATTTTGCGTGTATTTGATGTGTGATTCTTAATATATTCTGATATTAGAGTGTTCAGCATAGTTTAACAATGGTGTTCTGTCCTGTTTATTTAAGCATCTACAAATATTTAAAAAGTTGTAACAGGGAATGAAGGAATGAACAAATTGTGAAAAGAATAATCAAAAATATTAGGACTTCAAGACACTATAGTGTACATATAGTGACATGTTGATTGGTGACATTCAGAGCCTAGAAAAAATAGTCTGGGAACAAGACCCTGTTCTAGGTGCTGTACAAAGATATACCATAAAGATGGTTCCTGCCTCAAAGAGCCTACTATCCGCAGGAAGCAGATTGCCAAACGAATGACTGCTGCAACGTTCTTCAATAAAGCATTGCTTTTCCACTCCCCTGAAGTTTACCAGTGGTCCCCGACAGCTGATGGGAGAACTGGTGCCCATTGAAATAAAAGCCACAGCTGCAGCTAGAGCATCTCTCTGGTCCCACACAGCCGATATGCCCCTGCATACTTCACAAACCTGCATCTTTGCTTCATTCGGTGGTGGCAATTAGGCCTATGCGAGTAGGCAGCTATTCGATCTGGCTTCGGATCTGGCTGCTTTAGATGCCAGGGATCTGATCCGGATCTCCAGACTGGGTTTCTGCCTCGATCCAGCCCAAGCGGCTCCGAAGCTTCAGAGCCATCTCGGAGATCCGGCCATAGGGTACAATGGGGAATCAATGAAATATCTATAACTTTGTTGTTTTTTGTCTGATATGGATGAAGCTTGCAGGGGTGGTAGCCTCTGCTGAAAGCATGAAGCCTGCCAAGTTTCAAGAAGATCAGTTAAGGGGTTCAGGGGAACTGCACCCCAAATTCTTGAAAGCAAAACTCATATCACGTCTATGTATTACAACACGGGGGTGAAAACTGCAGGGGTGGTCACCCCTGCAGAGGCCACAAAGGCCACCAAGTTTCAAGGAGATAAATGCAGGGGTGGAGGGAACTGCACCTCAAGCTGTTGACAGGCAAAACTCGTGACACAGATGACCCTGTGTATGTTAAGGTGCAGTGCAGTGAAAGCTGCAGGCCTGCTAGCCGCTCCTGCGGCCGTGAAGCCTGCCAGCTGTCAAGGAGATCGGTGCAGGGTGGGTTTGGGGCCCTGCACCTCTGGCTGCTGACAGACAAAACTCGTGCCAAGGGTGCTTGTGCAACTGTCTGTCTGTCTTGGGGCAGTTGATTGTCTGTATTGATTCTTTCCTTTCCTTAGTCTGTGGCTTTGGAGGTGTTAACCATTGCTCGTTAACTCATTCTATTGATGCCACAGGTGGTTCAAGGGAGGGCCAAACCATGGACTTCTCAGTCTTGTTTCCTTTCCTTCCATTTCTGACTTTTTTCTGTCACCATGTAGCCCTGTCTCAAGCTAGTTTTCCCAGTTTGTGATGTCAATGCCACACTTCTTAATGTTTGCCTTCAGGCTGTCCTTGACACATTTCCCCTGATCCCTGCATGCCCTTTGTCCTTGGCTGAGTTGGGAATATAGTTCTTTAGGTAACCATACATTAGGCATGCACACACAATGCCCTGTCTACCACAGCCAATGTTGAATAATCAACACATCTGTGCTGGTGGTGTTAGCACTGGTAAAGACACTGGCATTTGTGCATTGATCCTCCCACTTTATGCCAACCATCTTCCGGCGGCAGTGCTGCTGAAGGCATTCCAGGCTTTTCAGGTGCTCCCTGTAGGTCGCCCAAGTTCACAGCCATAGCAAAGAGCTGGGATTACCATAGCCTTATATAATAGGAGCTTTATTTGAGTCCTGATGTCGTGATTATTGAACACATGATGGTACAGTCTTCCGAAGGCAGAGCTGGCACATCGGATGCTGTACTGGATCTCCTTATCAATGTTGGCCTTCTTTGAGAGATGGCTGCCAAGGTATGCAAAGTGGTCAACGTTCTCCAGGTCCTGTTTGTCAGTGAGGATGTTTGCCAGGGGAGTTGATTGGCCCGGAGCAGGTTGATGAAGCACCTTTTTTTTCTGACGTTAAGGGTCAGTCCCAGACACTGGTATGCTTTGGAGAAGTGGTTAAAGGCCATTTGTAGGTCCTCCTCCATATGTGCAACAACACCACAATCATCAGCGTATTTAAGTTCCACAATCAAGGCCAATGTGACTTGGGTTTTGGCATGAAGGTGGAAAAGATTGAAAAGGTTTCCATTCATGATGCCAATGCCATGTGGCAGACAGTCATGGATGAGCATCTTGATGACCACAAGAAAGATGGAAAACAGATTTGGTGTGATCGCACAGCCCTGCTTGATGCCAATTCGAATGGCAAATGGCTCCATGGCAGAGCCACTGCATAGGATGGAGGCAGTCATCTAGTTATGCAGGAGTCTTAGGATAGTGATAAATTTCCTTGGATAGCTAAACTTTGATATGATCTTCCACAGAGCCTCATGGTTAACAGAGTCTTTGCAAAGGGCGGGGGGAAGAAGGAAGAATCAAGAATCCAGGTTCTACTGTATAAGACAAAAGAAAACAGAGGCAGAGGTGTACATGAATGCAGCATCAGACAGCAGGATAGGCTCACTGAAATGGGAAAGAAGGAAGTAATCCATACTTCACTGGGCATATCCTTTTCAAGGAACGAGACAGATGTATCCTGTACAGATGGAATGAATTACACTTAATCAAATCAAGGGCTATTGTTTTTACAAAAAGAATGGGTGTTTATAAGGAACATTTTAAAATCTACATGCCAGAGGAGCAGAAGGTAGTAAGCCTATTACGTAAGAGTCTGGGGAATATCAAGAGATGCCACCCGGAAGCTTTTCAATAGAAAGTTAGAATTTTGAATTTTTAATCAAAAAGGCAGGTAACAAGATCAGTTGTATTTTATTCAGTTTCAAAAAAATGAAACTCAACTAGAAATAACATTATAGTACTGATGGGAAAATGATCTAAACCTAAACCTTCTAAAAAGCTTCTAATTTACATCTGGACATGTTAGCCTAAATAACTACTTTTAGGAAGTACACTACTGCTAGTTAGAATTAATTTTACTAGCTTCCTGCCTGTGTCATAGATAAGTGACTTACTGTCTGTCATTCGTCAAATAAGATTAGGGAAAAACAACAAACAAACCAACTCTAAACACTAACCTTTTCTTGAAGCTCAACACACTAATTATTGGTGTGTATATTATTCCAATTGCAAAAACTATTTTTAAAACCCGCTGCATATATTAGCTCTACCTTGTATTTTTAATTAGCAAACTACTGTATTTGCTCACATCAATGGATTTTTGATACAATACTTTATTTTAACCATTTGTATTCTAACTTGAAATTGTGGAGGAGGGGAAAGGCTTGTGCATGTTTTCCCTTTTAAAAATTAAGAAAGTCAACCTCCAAAACTACTTTTATTTATAAAAGGAACAAGGAAGGAGAGGAGGGAGAAAAGTGAACCATTTTCTTAGTACAGGGAAGTACTAGTGCACTTTCAAAATAAGGGATTTTTGAAAATCTGGTAATGAAATAGAACCACAGATTGAGACAAGTGACTGAGAGTGTGAACTTTTAATAGGCCACATGACCTAAAGCTGACATGGCTGGATGTTTAACAAAGCATGTAAAAATACCAAGGGAGTAATTAAAGAAAGGTTTAGGTACTCAGGCAAAGATTCCTCCTATATAACAATAGGTAATAAAACAAGAGGATTTGGGAATGCTTTTTTAAATGAAGGATAACTTGGTCATGGAGTTTATAAGAGACTGCTTGGGGAATGCAAAACACCCCCTGCCTCCTTCCACCCAGACTGGAAATTCAGCTGTTGTATAATCTTTGATTTCCTGGAATAATCTTTGGATGATTGAACCTCAATTAAATCTTAGCAGCCAAAGAAAAAAGAATTTTCAGTCAGATCATTTTAAACCAATTTTTTGTTTTATTTCACTCAAAAATGTAAACATCTTTGAGTCAACAGGCTAGATGCAGAACAGCACTTAAACATGCACCTAATTCATATTTAACTCCATTTCTTGCTTTAAATAGCTGTTTTAGTTCTTTCCTCATTTGGGACTGATACAGCTTGATCAGAGAGCAAAAACAGGCTATAGTTTCACCCTTTTTGGCCATCTGATACCCTAGGAAAAGTGTAAAGCAGTAGGCCCAGTTCTCTCATCCTGCACCTTGTGGAACCACTCACACTTTTGCAGAACAAAATGCACCCATCCTGCTTCTGCGGCAATTCACATCCTCTCTGCTCAGACTTAGGTGTCTTTGACTACCTAAAATCAGCAAGTCACGCCTTATAGACACACACACGAGATTTCCAAACCTAAAAAATAAAGGAAAAAAATGTTTATATTATTTTGATGAGGAAATTTCAGGCATCTTTTATATAGCAGAAATAACATCCATCCTATTGTTTCCCCTTTTATGAGTCATGTTTAAGAAAAAAAGTACATAGAGTGCAACACAAAAATTAAAAGAAATCACAGGCTTGTACATCTAAATGTCAGTGTTCTGAAAGATACTGGAACAATGGTAGCGGATAAAATGGCAAAAAGTGAATGAAAGCATAGTTTAGGACAGCACAGTCCAAATGGATTCAGTAGCAGACAAATGTATTGAAGCCACTTTTCATATGCAGTGAGCAGAAGAATGGCAAACACTGGGAGCAAGCGTAGGTTTTTCAGTCATCATTGGGTTGGAGTGCTTTCTGGAGGACAAAATGTTAAGAGGCTTTTCAGCAAACACAACACAACACAGCAAAGGCAGTTGATAGGCACGTGTTAGAATTGGCCTCTCATGGGATAGTCACGGTGGGGGGAAGGGGGAGGAAGTCACTGTCACAAGCTTAAGAAAGGATAGGAAATAAAAGTAAGACTGAATTTCTTCTGACTACATATGAGGCAAGTGCTCCTTGAAATGAAAGAAGTTTTGAAGGCAAATTTCTTCATTATTTTACTGAGATCACCAGCCACTTTTATAATATTTGTAGGGAAGAATGTCTACCCCAGAGTCTTTCCTATGCTCCCCCCATCACCCCTCCACTTTTTTTTTTTTAATGTGGCACATCTCCAAGACAGAACAAGGTGGGATACTACTGATCTCTCTGGGCTGAATAAAACAGGAGAATAATGTTCCTATTAATATTTATAACCATTAAAAAAGGAAGAGAAACTATATAGAAAACAATAATTATTTCCGAATTGTTACTTATACTGTGTTTGTGCGGGGCTGAAAGTAGTGGTCACCTTTTCTCTATTAGTTCTAGTGATTGCCATAATAAACAGCGTGATCAAAATATATCATGTAACTGTATACATTTTATTTGGACATCTTCCAGATTGCAATCCCAGACTTCTTTTAAATTCTGCAACTGTAAGGGCTAAACTAAAAAATAAACCCACCCTTCAGGCTAGTACAGTGTGCCAAGGGGTTGTTCTATAGTAGTAACGCCAAGGAAGATCTATGTTTGACTCAGCCGAGGAAACTGAATACGCTGATCTGCAATTTCCCTCCAGAGCATACACTCTGAGCTGATGACAATCCATACCCTTCTCTGGCATTTGTTGCCAGATCCCTCCAGCAGTTTTTAGTCATGAGCTAAAACGTCCTCTACCCCAAAGTAGACCAATGCATTCGGTGACTGCATTATTTCAAACAGTCAGTGTGCTAAAGGTAGCACCTTTTATTAAACCAACTAGACAGTTGCACATTTTTTTTTCTTTATTTGCAACTGTCTAGTTTTGCAACTTTTTTTTGCAACTGTCTAGTTGGTCTAATAAAGATATCGCCTCTAGCACACTGACTGCTTGTTTTCTTAGATCGGGGCGGGCAATTATTTTGGGCAGAGGGCCACTTACTGAGTTTTGGCAAGCCATCGAGGGCCACATGACAGGCAGCGAGGGGCAGATAAATATTATTTTTCTACATTTTTAGGGGCCCTGTGGGCTGGATAGAATGGCTTGGCAGGCCACATCCAGCCCGCAGGCTGAATTTTGCCCACCCCTATCTTAGACCAACGCAGCTACAACCTTTATCCCTGCATGATTTCAAATGCATTTGTGCTAGATGGATAACCACTGGCAAATCCTCAGTCAGTACAAACTGTCCTAGATCCAGAGTGGACATTGACTTTAATAGATCTAAGATTTATGACAGTTGAGGATGTATCCCTCCTTGATATTTTCTCACCCTACTCCATACTGGTAGAATAACTACCTAGGAAAATATATGCGCTCAGTATGCTAGATGCTTAGTCAAGCTTATGTATCTTGTTTTCAGTCATGTTCTACTACTATCTGAACACCATTTAACCTTCACTATGTTAGGAAACCAGATGCCTCTAAAATGTCTTTTCTTGGGTAAAAGTTTTTATGTTTTAAAATGCAATTAATTCACTGCTTCTTTACCCTTTATTTGTTTCCATTATCATTTCTGATTGACTTTTGCTTCTGCTCGTCATTATAACTTAAGTCCAGAATATTTTTATATGCAACTGCATATATTTCTTTTGCTCCTTTAGATATTCGTCTGCCTTGCACTCATAGTATTCATTTATGCTCCAGCCAAGGTGTTATATTTGGCTTCATTATTATCAAGTTAGTCCATTTAGAATTCAATCAGGTATCTCTCCCCCAAGTATTTCCCATTCTTCTTTGAAAGAGATTCACCTTACATCAGAAGAGAATTTCAATCAGCCTCCCTGAGGCCATTTTGTATGCTCCCAAATCAGCTTTCCTAGAGTCAAGATTGTTTTAGTTACTTCCCCTAATACATTTCAAGTGTAATTACACTATGATCAATAAGTCTTAGATGTTCCACAACCTCAGATGTGTTTTTTATAGCTGGCTCACTTCCTGGATTAGTCCAAAGCAGTTTCTAACTGAGGAAGAGTGTTCAAAGGAACGGTATAAAAAGCAATCCTGAATTATTCCCCCAGAAGGCCCTTATTGAATGTTATTTCACACTGCAAGGATGCAGTTTGCTTTTGTGAAGAGGGTCCATATAAGGCCCCATGCACAGTCTAGGGTTACCATACCAGCAGCAAAAAAGAGGACACCTGCGATTGGGGGGGGGCGGGGGGGGAGGCATATGATTGTGGGGTAGCAGTGATATGCCCGTGCCCTGCCTCTGCCCCTCATTCCTAAGCCCCTGCTCCCCCAGGCCCCGCTCACTCCCTGCCAGCCCCTGCTCACTCCCAAAACACAGCTCCCTGTCCCCATCCCTGCCATTGCCCCACACTCCCAACCTGCAGCCCCCTGCCGCCATCCCTGCTGGTGCCCCACACTCCCAACCCACAGACCCCTGCCCCCCAAGCCCTGCCAGTGCCCCTCACTCCCAACCCATAGACCCCTGACCCCAGCCGTGTGGCCCAAGCAGTGCCCGCGTATGCACACACGTATGCATACACACAGTCTCTCTTTTCCAGGGCATGCATGGGGAGCACATGACCCCCAACAGCCAATCACCTTATTTGCTGCTCCCAGCCCCAAGCAGCCAGCCCGAGAGAGCAAAGGACATGCAAAAAACCCAGACATTTGCTCTTATTTTAAAAACCCACCTCGATGCAGCACACGGGGCCAAAAAAGAGGACATGTCTGGGAAAACCTGGACGTATGATAACCCTACTTAAGCTCATGTATGTTAATCTGAAACTAGAGACCCTGCTTCTCTAGCATCTGCTTCATCCTTGGTGCTGTATCCCTTCAGAGACACAGCGAGGGTTATGTGCCCCTTCTCTACACAACATTGTCCCTTATCATGCTGAACTATGCAGGTTCAACTCACACAACACAGGATACAAAAGCATCCTTACCTGGCAGCATCAAACAGTGGCCCCAACCTCCTCTCTTCCAATAAGGCTAGGGATAGACATTCAAAAAACCTGAGCCTAAATTGATTCAATCTTTGCAGGTTAGTCTAACTCTGCTAAGCTGAACTGGTTTGTAACCGGACAAACATTCTCTTTGAACTGAGGAAATTCAGGCACACGCCTGCAGTGGCTCAGGCTAGAAGCTGGGGGGCACTAGAGCAACCCTCCCTTCCCTTGCACAGTGCTCAGCTGAGGGGAGGGAGGGGAGGGGGGGCATGACCAGGCCCCAGCATGACCTCTGATTAGGAAGGTCCACCTGCACAGTCCCAGGCTTTCCCCCACTGGATGCTCAAGGGGTGTGGTGGGGAGTATTTACAGACCCATGCTAGCAATCTGAGGGAAGGGTGTGTGTGCAGTGCATGCATCTGTCATTGATATGGAGGTTTTCAATCTTCCTCCCTGCTTCTTTATACTGTCTGCAGCAAACTGACAGGCAAGCAAGTCAGCAAGGGACTGATAACAGTGTTTATCACCTGATCAGAAAAACAATAGCCTCTCTCCATCAGTTCAAACTCTTAAACAGTTTACCAGCTGACCTGTTGATTAGCTCCAAAGAGCCCCTGTTCTGTGTACCTGTCCAAGTAAAATTGGCGAGAGACACACACAGGAACCTCTCCGCATTAGCTAGCATACCACTTGCTTAGGGCCTGTGCTATGGAAGATGGGAGGGAGGGGGATTTCCTGCTTAAGCAGCGAGCAGCAAGGGGGAGGTAGGCCAGAGGGAAGCCAGGCAGACCCTGCTGTGCCTGCAGTCTCTGCCAGAGCTCTGGCCAGGGAGCAGAGGAGAGGGGCCAGCCCTGCTGTGGAGCAGAGCGCCCCACCCAGCCCAGAGAGCATGCCAGGATCCTGCAGGTGTCTGGTTTATCTTAAACCAGCAAGGGGTTTGGGACAGACATTTCATAAACCAGTCTGAGCCAAATCAGTTAAGTCTGATACTACATTCAACCAGGTTTATCTCAAACCAGTTTCAGACATTTTCAAACTGAAAATCTTTTTTGTTACAGGTTTAAACCAGTTTCTGATCACTTAAACCAGTTTATGTCTAATGCCTGTCCCTAGCCTAAGAGGTTAGAGTACTGTGGAGGGCCTCTAACCAGCCTGTATTTCACCCCTGTGCTCAAGCACAGTATAAGTAGAGCAAAGAATCATTTTCACATTCTCTGCTCTAGGTGAATTTCTCTATATTTGAGCAGTTGAAGCAATCTGTGAACAAGACTGGTATGCTGGCCTCTGCTTATGCTGTGTTTGCTTTTAAAAGCATTTTCTAATCTAAATTTTAATAACTAAAGACTGAGGCCTGGGGCCTAGCAAGGTGACTGGTGTAGTTCTGTCATTTGTCATCAACTACTTTATACAGAGAGAATTCACTGGGACCTTTTGTCAAGATCCATGAGATCTCCTTTGGGAAAGAGAGTCTTGTGAGATTTTTTTTTGTCTACTCTAACTCAATTTGC